GGGGGGGTTATATCCTCGCAAGTATATTCACACCGACACGGTAAGTATGTGCAGTGAGTGGGTGCAGGAGGAAAGTGAGAAGTAAAATGTAGGACGCCGGCGGGATATAAGGCGAAATCGCACGGCAAAGCAAAACCCGAGTGACGTCTTGCGAACCCGCAACGGGATCTGCGGCTCTGACTCGGTGTTTCCGCGGTCTTTGCTGGTCGGACTCTGAGTAAGTCATCATGAGCGAATTTCACCCGTTCCCATAGGTTCGGTTCTACTTCTGCCCAATCTATCCATAGTATCACTTCGGAACTTGCCTGCCGAGACGGCGATTACTCGTGCTTTTTCTGGTACTTGGACAGTACTACTTACTCCCTGGTGGCTTGTTGCAGCTTGACTCATACCATAAAAATTCCCCGTATACCGGGTGTTGTAGGAAACAGTCTGGTCTAGTCTAATCTAGCCTTATGGGCTGATCAATCAATCGCATGTCTTTGTCGAATTTTCTCCTCTCTGCCTTCTCCTCCGTCTCCCCTGCTCGCCTCTCCGCACTAGTCACATACTTTGTAAGCTTTAGATTAAATGATTACAATTCATTCCCAATTCCTGCGCCGTTTCCGTCCGTAAATAAATCGAATACGAGGCAAAGATAAAAAAACATATGCAATTAAAAGCTACACCTCCAACAACAACCACCACCCCCCGCTATCGCCGGGATCCCTTGGACGCCGCAATCTGTCGCGCCCGCATCTTCCGGAATCGATCCTCGCCGCTGGCGCCCAAAGGTCGCGCAAACTTGCTCTCCTGTACCATCGTCGGTCGCGGCACCACCGTGTAACTCGTGTGAGTGAGGTCGGCGCGCGCCCGGTTCGCCAGTCGCGGCGGCAGCATTTCGCGCGCGCGCGCCTCCGCCACCGATGTTTGCGCCGATTTGGGACGGGAGGTGCCCAGTTGACTGGTTGAAGTTAGCAGAGAGTACAAAAACTGCGGTATCGAAGCGATCGAAAAGCGAACGATCGAAGACGGAACCGCGGCAAACAATGAGGGAGACAGGAAAACATACGTAGGATCAAAAGCAGCCTCCTGGTACACCCGCTTGGAATAGTCGTCGCTGCGCTGCAGGATCGGGCGCGTCCACTCGGCCAGCAGGCGCTCCGCCATGCGCTTGATACCTGGCTCCGGTCGCTTGCTGCGCGTGTAGAATACAATCACCTTACCGACCCCACTGGCGATCAGGGTCTCCTTGTTGATCGGCAGCTTGCCCAGCGCCGTCATCAGATCGCGCTGGATGTTGTAGGCGGGCAGCGAGCCGTCGTCCAGCGGCTCCAGGAAGAACTTGACGGCCTCGAGCAGGTTGATTTCCGGATCCACCAGACTGTTGACGTATTGGTTGCGGTTCAGCAGCGAGACGACCTCGGGGAGCATCTTGAGTTTGTGCATGGCGGGCTTGCCTCCGCGGCGGTTGATGGCATCCATCTGCGCGGCGTGGGTCATGCGTTTGCGCATATCTTCGATCTCAGCATCGGCCATTTGTTCCAGATCCTAAACCCGTAAACCATTAGCTGAGAGTCGCCCCCCTCTCAAAACAGCGTAAAACCTTTCCAGAAAAGAAAAACATACAATGCCGTCCGCCTTCCGGAACCGTCTCTTAGTCGGCTTTTTCAGCGCCTCATCCATGGCTCGATCGAGCGCTCTCCTCCGCCCTGCAAGTCCCATGAAGATTAGCAACCCACCCAGATTCTCCTCTTCTCTTCCCACCGCAGAAAGAAGGGGACCCAAAAACTCACGCGTAGCAGGATCCAAGGTCTCATCATCCTCCGGCAACACCTCCTTCTTCTTCGACGCGCCGGGCCGTCGCCGCCCGGCCTTGCCCGCGCCGCCTTCCTCGTCGCTGGCCCCGCCGCCGTCCTCCAGCTCGCGCATGCGGCGGCTCTTCTTCTCGCGCCGGCCCTCGCGCTTCCGCTTCGACTGCTCCCCCTCGGCCCCCTCCGTGCGCTTGCGCTTGTGCCGCCCGATCAGCTTCAGGTTGTCCTCGTCGATGGCCAGCTGCGGGCGGTCCTCGATGTCGACGTTCTCCGGGTCGAAGTCCTCGAACTGCGCCTCGTCGACCTCCGACAGGATCGACTCGTCGTCCGAATCGCGGGCTTTGTCGTCGTCGTCGGCATCCTCCTCATCTTCACGCTCCGAGGCAGCTGCGTTGTCTTGGGGCTGGGGTTGGTCGTGGTCGCTTTCTTCGTCGCCGGCGCCGGCGTCCGGGGTCGGGGCACGGGCGGGTTCATCTTCGAGGGCCGGGGAGGCGGCTCGTTGTTGTTCTGGGCTGTTAGGTGCGGACATTGTGGTAGAGTCTGTGATTTTGTGTGGTTGTGTGGGTGTGTGGTGAGGTGTCCTGGGGACTGGATAATGTTGTGTTGTGCTGTGCTGTGTTGGTTGGTGGTTCAGGGAGATGTGGGATGTGTGGTGTAGTTGTTGGAGAAGGCAGGTAGTTTCCAGCCTGAGGCAGTATCGTAAAGAAAGCAGGACTTCTCTCCTGACTCAAGCTTTGCCCCTGTGAGTAACACTATAAGCTTCGGAAAATGACAGACAGATGACGATTGACGGAGGAAAGGAAATGGATGAAATGCAAGAAAAGAGACTGGCGGGCGCCGCAAAGGCAAGTAAAGGATGGGCTGGGCTGGAGGAATCCGTTCCGCCTCCGCAGGTGGTCCGTGCTCGGCAGAATCTCTTTTCCTTTCGGGGTTCAAGCTGAGTGAGTTGCATAGAACATAGAAACTAGCCCATCCATCTATCTCTGCCATTACACAACTCTTCAACTCACTTTCTCTTTCACTCTCCAAACACATTCTCTCTCACCATGTTCGCTCCCGGTAGGTCTTTGTCCTTTCTTTTGACCCATGACAGCAAATTACTAACGCTCATCCTTCAGGTCAGGAACAGCTCTCCAGAGAGGACATCAAGGTAATTCTCATTGCCCGACCGCGATGATCCAATCCATGCATACCCAGGGCCATGGCCATGCTACATACACAAGCCGCCTGGCCCAAACGTCTGGACAGCAGAGCTAACAACCAACAACAGGCTGGTGAGGCCCAGGCCAACCAGACCGTCCGCATGGCCATCACCGGCGGTGTCCTCCTCTACCTCTGTATGTTTCCCGCTCTCGCCGTCTCTCTTTCCGACCGATCCATCCAAAGCTAACCCTGAGGCCTCCGTACTGCAGCTCCCTTCGCCGTCGAGTTCGTCAAGAAGTTCCTGTAAATCATGCAGCATCCGTTCGATTGATCATCCATCCGGCTCGATGAACCCGAAGATCCTCCTTCTACCGGACTAGAAGACTATGGTACTGGATACAAGGGCAGTGGTGGACATGAAACCCGTTTTTCTTTTATGTATACTAGATCCATTGGAGGGAACTCCTTTTTTCCACCTAGAAAGAGAATATCTTGCGTATGTTTCTACCTCGTCTCGACTCTGCGCTTAACGATAAGTAAGAAAGAATCCCTAGCGCGAACGCGCGCAGGTTAATGTTGCGGATACCAGCTCCTCGAAAACTCCGGTCAGTTGCTTTCCCTCCCCAATCGAACCCAGCAAAGAAAGCAGCAAGTTGAAAGCACACCCCGTTTCGTAATAGATTGAACTCAAAGAGAAAGGCATGAGAATGATAAAACACTACATCAAATGGACTCCGCCGCCGGGGAGCTTCTGCGACTCTTCGAAATCCTTCTTCACCGACTCCAGCTCCTTCTGTAGGTGCTGGATCTGCACGTGGTAATCGTCCAATATCTACCGCGCCATGTATTAGCGATCAAACTCCACCTGGTCTGACGGGGAATCTGTCTGCTTACCTTCTTCGCCGTCTTCAATGTCTGCTCATCCAACTCATCCTCCGCCTGGGCTGTGGCCTTGGGTCCCGCCCGCTCCATCTCCTGCTGCAACCGCCGCGAATGCTCCCGGATGGCCAGCATGCGCGCCCAGATCTCCTCCCCGCGGCCGTTCAGCGACGGGTCGAAGACCGACCGCTCCAGCTGGGTCAGCTTCTTCCGCAGCTCCTCCTCGGCATCATCCATCGCGTAGCCGCGGTTGCGCAGCACCTGGGTCTTGGCCGCCAGCGTCAGGCACCGCTTGCTGAGAACGAGGTGTTTCCGCCGACATTCGGCGATGCGCACGCTGATCTTCAGGTCATGCCGCGACAGGAGCTCGGTCAGACAGTTGTTGATCTCGTGCATCCGGGTCTGCAACATGGTAAGGAAGTCTTTCTGGCGCTGCGCGCGCTTGCCAAGATCGAAGAATCCCTGCACCAGAACCGGTACATAGCCCGGCTCGGGTCGTTTGCGGAGCGCATCCTCCCACTTCGCCTCGTCGTCTCCCTGTCCCGGCTGGTAGAAGGGCGCCGCGTCTTCGCCGACGTTGTTGTACAGGTAGGTGCGGAACGGAGACGCGCGGTTGTTGGGGTCCCATTTGTCCTTGACGATTTGAATCTGCATAGGAACAGTGCGGTGAACTTGTGTGAGAAGGGGGAAGATAGTCAGTACAGTTTGAAAAATACCATAATCGAGATAAGAGCACCAACCTCCCGTAACGGCCCGTCCAGGCTCCCAAAGACTCGACCCCAATTGCGATTGCTGTTGTGCATTGGACTGTCCGAATTGCAACGTCGACCCCATTTGTGTCCCTGGTACCTGTTGCTGTTGCTGTTGACCCAGCAGGGAGCTACCGAACAGGCCTGACTGTTGTTGTTGCTGCTGCTGCGGTTGCGCCTGCTGGCCAAATAGACCGGTGCCCTGAGGCTTCTGACCCAATCCTCCGAACAGACCTCCGCCCCCTAGTCCTGACGCAGGCTGCGTCTGTGCTTGTTGAGGCAATGCGCCGAACGCGGGTTTTTGCGGGTTTGCATTTGTGTTACCAAAGAGGCCGCCGCCTGTGGTCGATGATTGCGGGTTGGTGTTCGTGGCGCCGAACAAGCCGCCTGTATTTGATTGTTGCTGGGTGCCGGCTGCTGTGTTTTGTCCAAAGAGGCCACCACCGGTCCCTGTCGTAGCAGCGCCAGCTCCTGCGTTGCCAAACATACCACCGCCGGGTCCTTGTTGAGCATTGGCGCCGAAGGGGTTGGGCTTCGAGTCCGCGCTGGGATTACCGAAGAGGGAACCGCCACCCGAAGGTTGAAAAGGTGTTTGACCGAAAAGGGACATGATGTGTGGTTGTGTTTGGGAGAGGAAGGGGTCTCGGCCGGTGGAGGTGAAGTTGAGGAGAATGAATCCAAGCTCCGAGCTGGTATCCAACAGAAAAGCAACGGGGCAGCTCAACGATTAATGAATTGAAAGCTGCGAAACCCTTGAGCCCGATTTATGCCCTGTGAAAACACAATCTCAGGAAGAGACCAGGACCTGCACAGCAAACCTCGAGACCGAAACAGTCAGGAACAGCAACGGCGATGCGGAGAGCTGCGACTCGAGGCGCTTTTGTTCGGGGCAAGCGCTTTGTTTTTCGCAGGTCACGTGTAGTCAGCTCACGCCGGTACTGATTCATGCCTGAGGCACTAGAAGACTCCAAGGCCACAACTCCCGCACCCCCTCATGCCTCAGGCAGGGGATATCTGCATTACCTAATCCCTCCTTCCGCAACCAATCAGCGCCCGGCGAAAACCGACCTTCCAAACCTCTCCGCCGCAGCTTCAACTCATCGTCGTCGACCTTGTACTGCCCGCACCAAAACCGCCCTCTCCTCCTCCTCCTCCTCCGGAATTGCATCCCACCCTCCCCAATTGCCATTGACCTACCCTCTCCGGAAACACCCCCGAAACAACCGTCACCATGGCCCGCCGCGAGTCCAGGTAATCTTCCCCCCTCACCTCCGCCATTCAACAACAGCCAGCCGCCTTGACCCTCCTACATCCGAATACCTCTCATAATCCCCAAACCTCCACCTACATATACACTACCCTCGCAACCACCAATTCCCCCAATTGGGCCCCGGCGAACCCCTCTTCCCAACCCTGCCAATCCCTCCCTCCTCGTCCAGCTGAAGCTCACAAAATATGGCAGATTCTCCCAGCAGGTGCTGGTCGACACCACGCCGATGCCCGACCACATCCCCAAGGTGGAGGAGATCGGCGCGACGTCCGCCCCGCTGTTCAGCGCGGCCTACTTCATCGGCGACCGGTGCCGGGCCTACAACGACGACTTCATGAAGTGCAAGGCCGAGGCCAACGGCCGCGGCGAGCTGGAGTGTCTGAAGGAAGGGCGGAAGGTGACGCGCTGCGCCGCGAGTGTGTACGTTGGTCCCTTTCTTTCAGGGGGGGGGTGGGGGTATCAATTGAGCGTTCTCTCTCTCCTTTGCCGGGGAGAAGCGAGCGATATACTCTCCATTGACCCTTTCCCTCCTTGCAAAAGGACACAGCAGACGCGACAGGAAACAATGGCTAATGGGACCACGCCGCAAACAGGATCAAGGATATCAACACCCACTGCCTCAAGCAATTCACCGCCCACTGGGAATGTCTCGAGCAGAACAACCACCGTCTCTTCGACTGCCGTAAGGCCGAGGTGAACTTGAACGCCTGCGTGTTCGACAAGTTGGTTCGTTGATCCCCTTCCTCATGCTCATGCTTGTCGTTGTCCTTGTTTCCCCCAAAGTCCCCAGCAAGCCTGCACCCCCGCCTGGGGCAGTTGTACTAACGAGCCACAAACAGGGCCTCAAGAAAACCATCCCCGGTGCCCCCGAAGATCAGACCCCCGTGCACCTGCGCCCACAACAGATCTTCTCCCGCTATCCCGGCCGGCAGTGGCAAGCGAACGAGGACGGGACGCCCATTTTGGACAAGAACTAAAGCACAGGGGTTCGAGTTTCGACGTCTAATTTCCTTTTTTCTTATGGCCGTGCGGTCTTGTGTTTCCCAGTTTCTTTGGTCTATGTTTCGAGGTGTTTCCGCCCAATGATTTCTGATCGAAATGGCTCTCGTGTGTGTACGTGTGTGTGTGTGTATATATTAGCATCAGGAATATTCATTTGGTATCAGAAGATGATCTCTCTCCCTTTTGGGTTTGTGTGTAGTCAGTGCGTGGCGTGGTGATCCTGTATAGATGCTGCTACATGATGACATTGTGGTTTAGTGTACAGTACACTGGCTCTCACGACAGACAAAAGGAAATCTCGATGGAGAATGAACCAACAAGAAAGAGAAAAAGCATGTCCATCATCAAGATGTCCACGCCATGCATACATACAAAACAACAGAAATATATAATATATACGAGAACATAGGCGACCACAGGAACCCAACACCTACCGGGAGAGTCTCAGAAACCCAATCAAGAATCACCTCGAGGTATCCGCTTCCTCCGCCAGAGCCTTGTCCGCGCCAATCGACTCTTCACCTCCGCCCACCCGACCTTGAGCACGACCTCCAGCCGCCGGTCCCCGCGGAGGCGCATCCACACCCACAAGACCCCCAGGAGGGCCAGATCCACCATCACCTGCCGGAAACACACCCACAGGAACCAGCGGACCCAAGCCCAGACGCCCGAGCGGCGGCGCTGGGCCCGCGCGCGCGCCTCCATCTGCTCGCGCACGGCGGCGATCTCGGCCGTCATCGTCGTCAAGGCCTGCTCGACGCGGCGACGCCAGGATGCCGGGGTGGGCGGGGGCGGCGGTCGTCGTGACCTCCCTCGGGACGGGGGGTCGGGGGGTTCTACTGCCTCGTGAGGATGGGGTTGTGGTCGGTAGTCGTTCTCCTCCGCGTCGTCATGGGGATGGTCGTCACCGTCATCTTCTTCTTCTTCATAAAGATTATCCTGAGCCTCCGCGTACACCTCTTCCTCGTCCTCGTCCTCATCCTCCTCATGGTCACGGTCACGGTCGACCTCATCATCCCCAAAGCCCTTGGAACGCGACCGAGCATACGCCCCCGGCTGACTCGGCTGACTTACAGGACTCATCACCCTGAGCCCCGAGCCGTCCTCGCGACCCCGGCCGCGCCCACCAGGTCGAGACGCCGCCTCGCCTTCCCCCACCGACGTAGCAAGAAGCCACCGCGCATACTCCTCGCGCGACAGGCGCCGCCCCGATGCAGAAGCAGCAGCGCCACCGCCACCGCCACCACCACTCGCCCCCGCCGACCCATGATGTGACCGGAAGTCCGCCAACCCCTGGCTCCGCAGAACGGCCTCCGACCCAGACTCCGACGAGTCCAGCGAAGCGGTATTCGACTTGATCTGATCCCAGACGAACTCCAACTCGGCGACCAGCTCGCGGGCCTCGGTCGTCTGCGACGCGTACTGATGCATCGTCTCGATCAGCGTGGAGATGTACCGGCGTTTAGCTTCGGTGCGGGAGAGACCGCGCTGGGCGTACCATGTATCCCTAGCCCATACGTATCAGCATTAGCGATTCGAAACTCCTAAACCAAATAACTTGAATCCCTCCATCCCATTCCCCCCAGAAATTCCTCCCAAATTGAGCAGGCAGAAAAAGACCACGGAAGAATAGAACATACCACTTTTCGCACTCCATAAACACATCCGGGGTATTCCCCACCGGGCGATCCATGACACCTTCAACGTCACCTTCTACAGATCCACGAAAACATCAACATAAGAAATTAAATTCGAGGTTTCTCCCCACAGGTTCTTCCCCCCCTCCCCCCAAAACCAAAACCTAGCCCTCACCCCCTTCCCAAAGGGATTGAAAAAAAACATACCCATACTCTGCTTATACAAGCCATACAACTTCAACCGCTCCGAGGCGGGCGGACGCGCCGTCCCCGTCCGCGGAATCCGTTTGACTGTGTTGAGGGCGTGGACGAAGACGCGGTCTGATTTCCGATCAGAACAGTGATTAGCATCTGCTTTCAACGGTTTGTTTTGAAGGGTGTATTGCGCCGCAAGAAAAAGAAATCCCGCGGAGCTCGGGATAATGATGATGACAATGACGCCGGGCGAGACGGCATCCAACCGGCCTAGGGATTGAAGGAATACCGGAACCACAAGACACATAACACCAAAAATATGCTAGGGTTTGGGGGAACAAACGCACCCACTGAGTCCGACATGATTCAACGCGCAACAACAACAGCAACAACGAACTGGAACCCGAATATAGTCTGGTCGAGGGTGGCTTCATGAGCGCAGTGGTGGGTGCGGAGGCGGAGGCAACGGCGAGAGCGGAGGAGTCGGTCGTGGGTGTAGCAAAGGGGGTACCGCATCGGTGGGGGACTTCCGCACGACCAGAAATTCAGAGCGAGAATGCGAAGCTACTGGTCGTTGTGTTAAGTTCACCCTGCGTTGAGAGGAGGGAAGAGAGATCGCGAGAGTGGTCTGGTCGGGCGATTGGGATTGCAAGGGAAAGCGAAGCTTCCCCGGATTTCGGAGGTCGAAGATGAGCGAGATCGATTAGATAGGCGCGTCACGAAAGGGAGGAGGGAAGGGGGCGAATGGAGTCTGAACTTGGAATGGAATTGGTGGGAGGAAATGGAGAGCCGGGATCTCTCAAGGGGAGTTGTGTCGAATCGAGGAGGGTGTTGTTGGAGGCTGCAGCATGCAGGGTCAGTCAGGCCGATAAGTGTTGTTAAGGTAGTTCGGTTGATGCTGGATTGGAATGGACTGATTGACGGATTCGGCTCAACCGCGGCTGTTTCGGCCTCGGAGGTCCCGCCCGTGATTCTGTGGGTTCCCCCACTTCTTCTTCTTCTATGCCATCCTTTGCCAGCCTGGGGTGCTGGATAAATTATATGCTGTACATAAAACCTCAATCTCATTGTTCTCAGATCAAGTTAAGGGTAAGGAGTAATCATATCCACCAAATTTACCGAAGAATAGCCAACCCGATATACTCATATATATATCTATATATATCTGCGTGTACACGTACATAGAGTAGTCACAGAACCAATTATCATACCAGAGCACAAGTTAAATATGTACAGAAGACGACTACCAAGAAAGGCCAGCCGGATCAATTCTTCGCTGAGCTACTCCTCCGCCCTTTCTCCCCCTCTGACAGGACATTCTCCGGATCCACCGGTTTTCCCGTCATCACCCCAGGCATCCCATCCACTTCCTCCGCCACCGGCGGGCCCGTGAAATGCTTGCGGGCATACACCACGTACCAGCCGATACTGATGGCCGCGAACCCGGCAAACACCACACTGGCGTAGTTCATGCTGCTGGCGTCGACCGGCAGCGACACGGGCATGCAGAATAGCACCACCGCCAGCACGATCCAGCACACGGCCAGTCCGTTGATCGCGTACCCGAACCGACCCAGCGAGAAGCTCGACTCGCGCACCGCGCGACGACCCCGGCACATGAGGATCAGGATCGGCAGCCCGTAGGACGTGGACAGGCAGATCGTGGCGACGCCCGTGAACGAGTTGAACGCCGCGCTGGAGCCAAAATAGATCAGCCCCAGGAGACAGTCCACCGCGGTCGACAAGACGATCGCCCACACGGGCACGTCCAGACGCGCGTTGACCCGGCGCCAGAGTCGGAAGCCGGGGATCGCCCCGTCGCGGGCAAAGGCGTACGTGCAGCGGCTGGCGGCCGTCAGGGCGCCAATGCCGGCGAACATCAAGATCCCCAGGATCAGGAACAGCAGACCGAAGCCGCCACCGGCGGAGCCCGTGGCCGTCTTGAAGATCAGCCCGATCGGTTGTCCGCTGGCGACGTCGAGGAGCGACTGCACCGAGGGGAGGACGAACAGGATCGGAATCAGATACACCAGGCCCGTGACACCGGCCGCCGCCACCGACAGGACAATGGCCTTGGGCACCTCGCGGTGCGGGTTTTGCACCTCCTCGCACATTGAGGCCACCATGCCGTACCCGGTCAGCGTATACGCGGCTTGCAAGAGTCCCACGAAGAAAGCCCAGCCGGACGGCCTATTCATCTGTCAGCTTCAAGACGAACCCTTCCATGCCGAAGAGGAAACTCACCAGCCACTCTGCGAAGAGTCGTAGTGCGCAAACACAAACTCGGCATCCCGACGCTGATCCGCCATCGTCAAGAGTGTAACCAATATGATGATCACGCTAGCCGCGGTCCAATAGATGCACACCTTGTTGATCAAGTCCAGGTACTTGGAGAAGAAGATATTGACCAGCGCGCAGACGAGAATGACCGCCCAGAAGGTGAGGATCGTCTGCCACGCGTTGGCCACAAAGTCTTCATTCCACAGGGAGATGGCGCTCAGGATCAGCTGACCACCAGAAAAGGTGATGCTGAGGGTGACGGTCCAGTTGCCAACCAGCGTCAGCCAGCCGTCGATAAAGGACAGCATCGGGGCCCAGCGTCGGGTCGGCAGCATGGCACTCCAGTAGTATACACCTCCGGCGGTAGGGTAGACGGCGCAGATCTCAGCAAGCGATGCGGCGATGGCGATGGAGATGAATGTGACGAGGACCCAGCCCCAGATGATGGTCACCGACTGGCCATCGGCGAGGGTGATGTAGAGGGTGGTACTGAGACCGAAGGGCGCGGCCATGATTGCAAAGGACCTGTTTTCTCCCATCAGTCAAGCTTTCCAACCGCAATCCAGTCCATCATTCACATACAGGCCTAGAATACTGAGCATGCTCAAGTTGCGCGGCAATTCGCTCTTGTACCCCATGCGAGCCAACGCCTCATCGGCGTTGGCATCCACAGAGGCTTGACGCATATTGATGGATGGATGGGAGTTATAGGAGTTGAGAGGAGAGCTTCTATTCAAAGGTTGTCATCGCAGGTCAGGTAGAGTGGTGACTAGAGCTGAGAAGAAGAGGAGCGTAGCGAATGCGACCAGGGTAACCCGCGAGGAAAGAAGGAAGGTGAGAGGAAGGAAGGAGGGAGTGTATAAATGGGGATGATGGGATGAATAGAGTGAGTGAAACAGGAAATAGAGGTGGAGGTGGAAGAGGGAGAGGAAGTGGAAGTGGTGATGGTGAAATAGTGCAGTGATAGGAATGTTCCCAGCAACTTGGAATAGTGCAATGAAGTCAGTCCGTATGTACTCCTCCGGACTCATTAAGTTACTGGAATGCTTAATTCCCCCGCACGTCACCCATGACCATCTTTTCCCTTTCTTTCTTGCTTTCTTTCACCACTCAGCATTTCTTCCCACTCTCTCCAGACTTGCACATGAAAAGGACCCATCGTTGAACTGGGGAGGCAGACAGAATCTACCAATCACCGCTGAGCAGGCTCGATAAACTCCTTCACTAGGAGACTCCGGTGTCGGGCTAAACGCCCTAAAAGGGGCGCGGTCCGAGACCGCGCTGATAAGCAGAATCCCAGAGCGATAAGTCAATAATGATCAGACAAGCCCATTAGTTAGTTAGTTCTGGCTGGTATGAAATGCATCCATCCCTACGCTTATCTGCCTTGTCGATACAGTCAATCCTCTTATCGCGGTTCTCCATAATTCTTCGACTCCTCGCAAACATGCCCCAAAAGACACTTATTAGAACAGTCACGCAATTGAATTGATGAAAAGTTCACGCGGATGGCAACTCCGGCTGAGACTCATGCATGACTGACGGGTGGAGAGGGACGAACACCTCGTGTTGGTAGAGCCACCTCCTCCTCTACCTTCTCAACCATGGCGCTGTCTAGTCTGGCTCCCCGCGGGGTAATTCCAGCTTACTTCCTAGGGTTCCACCTTAGGGCCCATCGCTGCCTGATCCAACGACATACCAAACTACAACAAACTACAATAAACTACATCAACACAAGGCAGGCACATTTAAATCTCTAACTAATCGATGATTCACGGCTATCCATTTGCTAGGTACATACAGCACAGTGAATTGTCACTATTCCAGTGACGGCTGCCACATCGCTTCACGGAACGCACCCATGCGGGTTCGTCCGGCAGATGAGCGCCAAACTGATCCTGAAAGCGGAGTCCAGTGATGGAGGAGGGGGATAAAGAGTGACGGACCGAGACAAGAATAAGAACCAGGGGAAGGGGGAGGCGAGGGGGCGGGGCGGGGGCATAAGGGGGTATCAAACACGAGGCTCACTATTAGAGACACTTAATTCGCCTCTGGTCGAGGCATTTTCTGTTCATCGAATATGGGGAATGGATGCTTTTTTTTTTCGAGCGGTTTTTTGGAGGGGTGTGCGGGGTGGGTGATGTCTCTAGTATATGGATAAACCTGTCTTACTGGAGCGGCAGTAGGCTCCAATAGCTCCCCCATCGCTCGGATGAAAAGAGGCTCCAGGTATTGGTGGTAGGGGGACACAAAAGGTGAAACGTGCTGGAAAAATCAAAGGTTTGAAAAAAGAACAGGGGAAAGAGCAATCGAGGCCAAATCCGCCGAATGGACAGTGGGAATAGTCAGTCCGATGATCGAGACGCCTCAAATTAGGCGGATGGCCACCTGGCCTAACAACGCCCACCGCCATTTGATCCTTCGGTCGTGCGGATTCTTAAAACGGTCGGATTTTGGCATCCACGCCTCAATCCCTGAGAGAAGAAAATAAAGGAGACAATCAAAGGCCTCATCGAAACAAGGCCCCAAATGGAGGGACCACTAGCCAGCTAGGGCCGATCCGACTGTGAATGATTATCGTCCGGATGAAGAAAAGAGGCACAAAAAATAATCGCAAACGCCCAGTCATGCAGTCGTCAATCCAGATAAGTCGTTACATGGTGATAATGGTGAGGAGAAAAGTTGAGGATGCAAAACGTCATCGCAGGCATATAAATCGAGTGCTGGGTAGGCTGCTCCGTGGTTAGGGGCTGAGCACCGCGCCAATGTCTTCCGTCCCGTCCATGCCGAACCCAGCCATATCGACTGAGTGCAAAGAACCCGGACCTCCGCGACCCAGGGAGATATCGGACGACGCATAGTCATGCTTAAGTCGTTCATGAGGGCCGAAGAACGGTCGACTCTCTTCGTTCGGAGTGTTTCCATCGCCGGCGGCCCACGGCCCATGTTGCCAAAACCTCGTATTTGCCTGTTGATCGCCAAAGAGATCATGGTGGTCATGATGGGTTTCCGGGCCGTGATGAGCGAAGTCGTTTGGGGACTGGAACCGCAGATGCGACCGGCTGAAGTTCGAGCAGGGAGAGTCGGCGTGCAACGGCAGGTCCAAGTTGGGGAACGGCATGTCCTCCACCGTCGTGATATCAATGGTTGGGTTCTCCGTCTGTCGAGCTAAGGCCGTTGCCAGGCGGAGGTTAGAAGCTGAACTTTGACGGCTATGGCTGGCGGACCGTTCGATGGCCCGTTGCACGAAACTACCGCATGTCTTCAGGATCTTCTCTTGGTCGGCAGAGGAGAGGCTGGCGAAGAAGTCGTTGGCGAGAGAAGGTCGGGGCAGTTCGGGTTCAACGCGGGTGAGGCCGAATGTCTTCTGGGCATACTCCGTGAAGCCAGACGGCATGTCGTAGGGAGACTGGTAGACGGTCGGGGCCTGCTCACGCTGTTGCTCGAGATAAGCGTAGGTGCGTGGCACTTTCGAGAGCGCCAAGCCGCTGCCGTTCACCGCCTCTTGCTTGATGGGTTCCGGCTCCTTCTTTTGCAGCACGTCAAGCCGGTCCCGATGACTCACCAGCGAGAAGCGGAGCATCTGCAACAGCCGAGTCACTTCCTCCGATCGCATGTTCAGGGGTTGTAGCGAAAGAGCAGAGCCATCAGGCGCCCGGGGTTGTACCCGCTGCTGAGCCATAGCCAGTTCCAACTTCTCCAGGCCATTAGGCGGTGGGACGGATCCCATCGGACCCAGGAGCGTGTCAACAACCATCTCGGGGCTGACAATGGTATATCCGGCGAAGACATTGGCATGGTCGGTAATCTGGGCCAGGCGACGGCGAGCGATTAGCTCCCGAACATTGGCAAAATTATTCGCAGGAAGGTGGTGGTGGTGATTGTTCTGCTGCTGCTGCTGTTGTAATAAATGGGATGGCGGATAATGATGGGTGGGATGAGCCTGGGAGTGTTGACGAGCATGAGGCTGCAAATGCGACTTGGTGACGTGCGGGTACGGGGCATGACGGGCAGATTGCGTTGGCAGGGTACGGTAAGCAGACGGCATCGCAGCAGGAGGCGGAGGAGGAGCAGCAGCAGCAGCAGCAGGAAGCGCAGGGCGTGGAGGGGCAAGAGAAGAATGCTGCAGCAATGAAGGGCGGGGAGCAGCAGCAGCGACGGCGGCAGCGGCAGCAGCGGCAGCGGTAGTGTGAGTATGCGTAGTGTTGTTGGCGGCAGTGGCAGAAGCAGAGGCAGCAGCAGCAACACCGACAGCAGAGGCGGTGGGCAGCGACAGAAGATGGTGGTGGTGAGGAGGAACGCCAGCAAGGTGAGGGGCATACGGAGTCGTGGCAGGGAGACGATGGTGGGGTTGGTAAGAGGGGACCCGGGCCATCACAGCGCCAAGGGACTTAACGCTGTCCAGGAAATTCGCCCGCTGGTTGTGGACAGGCACAGTAGGGTTGTGTGTATACTGAGCCCTACATTCAGTGGACGATTCGCCCAGATAATACCAGATCTTCTCGCCCTGCATGAGGTTGATGGGCGCCGATGGTGGGGCAATGTGGTAACTAGTGCTGTCCACCGTCTCGAATTCGGCCCACTGATACGGGGAGTCTCCATCACCAAACGGATTTCCTGCCACCGGCACGGCTGACTCCAACTCTTTCCGGCTCTCGGGCTTCCGAGCCAAGTGGGCAGGAAGAGGCTTGGTTCCTGGTGCCAGCGGTGAGAAATTACTCCGTCGAACCACAAGCATCCAGCGGTATGGTAATTCGATTACGTCCCTGTGCGTCGATCACATCAATCAGTCAGTCAGTCAAACAGTCCGTCAGACATTCCCATCATCATCGTCGTGATATCACCAATCGGGTAATTTCCAAACATCAAACAAGCGGGGGAGGGGGGAGGATGCTGTCTTACCCTCGAGGGAGCACCTTGACCAGCAACATTCGTTCCTCAGGGCGGTTCTCGAGCACCACCGCCCCATTGATTTCCTTGTCCGCCTGGAACTGCACTAGCTCCCCAGCCACCAAACGCCGGGCGGTTTGCATGAGTTTGCGGTCGAAATCGAGCGAATCGCTGTTGCCCATCCACGACGGTTTCTTTTGGCGGTGGTACTTGCATTTAAGGTCCACGCTAGGGATCGAATACTGCTCGCCATCGTCGGCGATCACGGCGATCACGCCTTCCTCCACTTGTACACCAGCCAGAAGCGCACAAGTGGCATGGTAGGAACGGGTACATTTGCCGAAATTGCACTGGAAGCAAGCACCGCGCACCTCGCGGCAGAAAAGGCACTTGAGGCCCATGCGAGCCTTTGGGATTTTATCCACATCGCACACCACCTCCCGTCCACTCTCGTTCCGTAGGATAGTTGTCTCCTCTGTATAGAGAGCACAACGCCGATGGGCATGTGCCTTGCCATCCTCGGTGGGTAAGAGGTCTTCGTAATCGAGGTTGTTGGGACACAAAACGCAGGGGATTTTCCGAGGAACATCCATGCTCATGCGCATACGTTTCGCCTTGGTGGTTTCGCCGTCCTGCTTCCGTTTACGCCCCCGGGTAGATGTCTTCTCGGGAACGCTGCGGGGCGGTGTCAGAAGATCCGAGACACCTTCCATCGCATCCAAATCGCTGTCGTATTCTCCATAGTATTCAGGGGTTGCCTCCCCGCGAAGCTTTCGTTCAATCTCATCAACATCAATCCAGACACTGTCGGCTTCGCAGTGGCACTTCTTGGCTACCCGTCCATATTCCAACCACTTTTCCGTAGCGAAATTGACAGATTCGGCACAATTATAACCCAGGTTGTAGCCAGAGTGGTAGCCATATGGATAAGTGATGACAAACTCGCCCTCGTAATGCACCAGTCTGTTGACTGTGATGCCATACTGAGATTTTAACAGACTGGGCGAGACAAGGTAAGTCTTGTGGCGGAGGAATTGATCGCAGCTCTTGGCATCACTTTGCCAAATACCTTGATCTAGAGTTAGCATTGGAAGGCCACCGGATTTGGCTTGTAATCTTACTCTTCATGGCCTGTTCGAACCGAGGAGCATCCTCTTGAGAAATGCTGTACCATTGTTTCGGAGCTCCGA